AAACTAGGAGGCTGTGGAGGGCAGCAAGTTTACTTAAATAGTGACTCCATAAATTTGCCATCTGTAAATAATCTTTTAAATTAATCTTAGGCTATTCCTTTTTTATGTGTAATATATATATATTTCTATTTATATAAAATGCATAGAATTGATTACTAAAAACACTGAAACTTGTGGGGAAAATTAAGTCCTTCATTTTCAGTGTGACTAAAAATGTACTGCTGGTTTTTATTTTATGATCTAATACTGTAATTTTTAAAATCAACTTCAGGCACATTTATTTCATTGATGATTATTAAATAAAACACTGCTTGTATTAATGGAGTAAAGAAAAGTTTATCCATTATTAGCTTATTGTCAATGCTGTACTAGAGCTGTACTAGTGGTATGCAATTCATTTATCAAAGAAATGCTATAAATCCAAAACATTTGGAGAGTTTTACACTCAAATGCTTTGTACTGTTTATTCCAGTAAATGCTGTGAGATTATATTCCAGATTTTTAAGGAAAAAAAGTTAAGTCAAGCCTGCAAGATACAGCTGTCTCAAGTGTCTACAATGCCAGTATGAAAATAAAAAATTAAGTTACATTGATACATCCAAGTTTTTTATATGCAGTGATGAGCACAAACATTAATAGAGATAAAATACTGATGCAATTAACACACCCCAAAATAACATATGCAATTATTTTCCATCATTTACAATACAGTAGTTACAATGACACTCCAAACAGAAAAGCAAAGTAAAAAATCAAAACCTCAACTTCTATTTCATGTAATTAGACTTATACAGAAATTAGAAGGCTAAATAACAACTAGTTAATCACCTAATTTCACAGCTATCTGAAGTGGCAATCGTTATATAGCAGCTTATCTATGATACATTCAAGATAAATGATACAATGTATTACTTGCCCATAAGCTAAAACACAGCCTGTTTAATACCTTTCCTTAAAGTCCACCTCTACACTACAATATACTTGAGGTCTATGCAAAAAGTAGCTACCTTTTATATAGGAAATGGATGATTAAGTCTTTGGTGCTGTAAAAGCAACTTCATTTAAACACCACCACCATCACCATCAAAAAAATAAAAATAAAAAAGAATAAGAATAAGAAAGAAAAAAACCCAAGACACACTTCCTAGGAAGAAAAGCATGTAATTTCTGTCCCTGACGGAATGTATTAAATAAGCAAATACCGCCAACAAGCGAAACAAGTACTACAATGTAAAAATACTTAAAAAAAAAAAAACAAAAAACCTCTCACATGCATAAATGAAAAATTGCACACAAAGAACTCACATCTTTTCAAGCTTCAATAGTAAATATTTTCTGCTACTACTTATTAAATACTGCATGGTTTGCCCAAGCTAAGATGAAACCACATCATGAATCAATGAGTAATTTGCATTTTCTTTCATTATCTACTCAAAGTCATGCCTACTGTACCTCTAAACATTTTATTAAATCCAATTATACAGCAAACACTCCAAAAATAAACTTAGATTGTATTGCAGTTTTACTTAACAGTATATAAAATGCTGTGTTGTGACAGATATCAACTATCCATTAGATACTGAATCAATTTTTCTTAAGCACTACTAACTGCTTGCTTTCCTTGAAGCTAGATCATTCTGAAAAATCTGACAGCAGAATTCAGCTATAGCAAACATGCTGCCCTCTTAGTAAGGAAAAAACAGCTACGACCTGAAATCATACCACACAAAACCAAAAATGAACGTTACTCTCTCAAAAGAAAACTAAAGAGTAGGTCTGAATTTTAAGTGCTGCAGTCCTCAACATTTATATATAGGTAATAACATTAACAACCTCAAATATTTAAGGCACTATGTGTGGGAACGGTTTACAATGCAGCTGAGATTATAAGAACAACATTTAAGAGCAAAGTCTAGGCAACATTTTGCCCATGCAAAGACACATGCAAATGTAAAGAACAATAGCTCAATTTCTTAGGTAAGTGACCCAACATTTATACACTAAGACACAGATAATACAATTCACTTGTATGCTGTAATTCTGACATATGTGCATCTGTTACTCTAAGTCTGTACACAGAATGGCTTCCCAAATGTGGACGTGTCTTGCACTAGTTAGAAGGCAATTTTATAAAAAATAGCAGGAGCAAAACTGGACTTCCGCTCCCGTAAGTCACCTGTCTAGAGTTACTACATAAGAAGATAACATGACCAAAGACGTTATACCAAATGTGCAAAACACATTAAAAGTGAGTTTTTTTTTTAAAGCTCAAAGTTGTTTAAATTGCACCCAAGTCTACATGATTCAAAAATAATTTTCTTGTGCCATGGCTAATATTTATTAAATACCATGTTTTTATTTTTAATCAAATGCTTCTATCATTGAGCTTCCTCAATATACTCTTTTTGAGTTTTCACATATATGGATACTGGCTGAGTTTTGTTGGACTTAATGGAAATCCAGTATACGCAGGTGATGCTGCAATATAAGAATGTGGTGGGAAGATTGGTTTGTACTGAGTCTGATGAATGGTTGGGGATGGTAACAGCCGGGGATTTATGCCCACTGGGACCTGGTGAACTATGCCACTGGGATGGGAGATATTATAAGATGGATGCTGTAACATAGGTCTTGAGGTACATGGAGAAGCTAAGAGGTGGGCCACTGGTGCAGCACTACTGAGGGTAGCTGATGATGGGTATGGAAGTAGAGTAGGCTGTCCTCCGAGGTGTGTACTTCCAGCCAGATGGGCATGCACAGCTGTGTGACTGGGACTTCCATGAGAAAGAGTGAAAGGATTACTGGTAACACTAGTAGGGATATAAGCTTGCTGTCTTCGATGTCCGAAGTTTCCATTCCACTCTTGATGCCCAGATCCGAAGTGATGAACCTATCCAAAACAAGCAAGCAACCAAAAAGTACTAAATATATTCTTTATAAGTTAAAAAGAAAGGAAGAAAGGAAAATCACAATAAACTCTGACTGATAACTCAAAGATCTCTCAAATCTTAGATTGTATTAAGTTTAAAGAGAAAAATGATTTTATATATTAGTATTAACATTTGAATATTACTACATATTATTATAATATTAACATTGCCACTACCACTGCTAGCAGTATAACTACCCCACCACTACTACTAGCTTCCATTTGTGGAGCACTTGTCATATGCAAGCCTAACATTTTATATATACATTATTTAATTCCAAAATAACCCCATGCTACAAGCCATTATTCTCATCAACTGTGGTCCAGATATGCTGAAGAGACCTGGCCAAGATAATATGCACATTATTGGCAAAACCGGGTGTGACTCCAATACCCATGACCTTTTCTTTCCCCAAGTGAAACAACTGCTGAGCACAATGCTGAACAGATGGAAAGTACTCAATGAGGCGTCTCTCGCTAGCACCACTACTAACCCATAAAAACTGTAGCCATCAATTCATTAATGTGCACTCTGATTTAAAGGATCTAAGAAAACAAACACTAAAAATATAATTAAGAAAATCTAAGAGCTTAATTTTTCTGAAGAACTCAAGTTCTACAGATAATGTGTTTAATTATCCTATTATTAGGCAATTACTCTTTAGTCACTTGGGATAATGAAAAGGATAAAATTTATTAAGATTGCATACAGTTTCAGAATATTTTTCCCCCAAGTGAAAACCTGATGAATTTGAACCCTAAAGACTCTTATAAATTCACAAACGTACCTGACTGAAATTCAAATGCTGTTGCTGGAATGCTGATGTCAATTTTTGCTGACGATTACCCACTGTGGAAGGCTGGTTTAATCTCCCAGGAGCAGATCGTCCTTTTATTAATGGCTGGCATATAGAATCTAGCAAGGAACAAAATATTAAATAGTTGATGCTTTTTCCTTCTCATATAAAAATTAGGAAAGTCTTTAGGTATTTTATACAACAGTGATTTGAGAACCTTAAAGTTAAATGAAAAGAAAGATCTCATGGTATCCAAGCACTGTATGATATAAAAAGAGATTTCTTTTATAGAAATCTTTAAAAGAAGATAGATTTGGCAGGATCAAGTTGGAAATTCAGAGATGACTTGAGGCAATGCTGATCTCTGATGTTCCTAAATTAAGACCTTTGAAGGGATAATCAGAGAAATAAGGAGGACTCAGTATACCTGTGTTTGCCATATGCTCATCGGCATTTAATCCATTTTCTAGTCCCATTGGTGGCACCACAACAGTACAGACAGCTGGTTTGGCTTCTGTGTTGGCAGAGGTTACCAGTTCTGTGTTTTGGTGAGTGTCCTCCACAAAACTGTTCTCTGCAAAGGGACTGTCACGTCCCGAAGAGTCTGATGTTGGAGAGCCATCCACGGTATCACAACCACTTTCCTGCTCTTCATCTGACATACTGCAATAAGAAAATAGTCTTGTATTTTTCAATATTAAATCTAAAGTTAAATAATATCTAGGCTCCAGCGAATTGATGACAGTCTTATTCAGTTATTTCATATCTAATTATGCCTTCTTCCTTGTCCAATAACACTTTTTTCACAGATTTTCTAGACTCTCACATTTATTCTCTCTTCAGACTGCTACAACTGCTACCCTTAATTCTGTCCTGTTTAGGAATATCCTTTTGGCACTAAATTTTCCTTTCCCACTTGATCCTTAGTAGAAGTTCATAAAAATACCACTTTATAAATTACAGATAATTTCATCAAGGCATTACAAAAGAAGCACTCGTTTGGGTAATTTAAATGAAATGTATAAACATATACATGTGTGATTTCATATTTCAGATTAAACTGTAAAGTTTGGACACATCCCTTTAGTGGTAATTTGTTGGGCCCTTTTAACCAACCAGTTCTCTGAAAGGTCTTCCCTACTTCTCTGAAGGCCCACCCAGAGTCCCATTACTCCTCTTCTCCTCCTGACCCTCTTGGGCCCCGATGACATCTCTCCTTGGGATTTCTACAGCACTTATTGTGTGTTTTAATCACTCGTTTCATACTTAATAATTTGAAGCACCTCTTTTTATATGTATATTTTTAGTTACATATTTTTATTTATATCTTAGACATACATTTACATATATATATATTTCCATATGTATGTGACTATTTATGTATGTGTGTGTATAATATCAACTTCCAAAACACATTGTAAGCAATTTCTAAGAAGATGTGTTAAAATTTCTTTCTATCTCCCACAGAGCTTTGGTTATAGGTATTCAATACCATATTTCCTAAGGAAAAAGAGAAGACAAATGTATAAAATTAAGACCTAAAATTTATTCAAGCTTTGTTTCCACTAAAAAAAAAAAAAAAAAAATTCTAAAAGCTAAAATAAAATGTATTTTACTGAAAGTTTTGTAGTTCATCTCTTAATGTGTTAGTATATTATATAGGTTAGGAGCAGCTCATTACTCTAGTGGCAAAGCATGTCCCTGGCCAAAAGGAAGGGTAGGTATGGAAATATGGACAAAATCATGCAAATCAATCACCAGTGTGGAAAAAAAAAATCGCAGCAGATATTCTACTGACAGTGGGGAATCACTTCATTATGCAAAACTTTTTTTTTTTTTTTTATTTTGCTAAAATATATGTTCTTATTCCAAATTTGTTACAATAGTAGGCTGTGAAGCTGAAGTTGAGAATGTGGCTTTTTTACCCTTTCAAAAACAAATAATTCTTTAAAAATGATTTATTAGAACTTTAATATTTCATTTAGATCTGTTCTATAACAAGAAAGAAAATTATTATTTAAAGCCTGAGTTTATAAAAAGTGATCTAGTTAAAAAATTATGTTCAAGACAGAAGCCACTGTGGTAAACTGGCAGGTACTTATTAAACAATGACAAAAATCATACACTTTTCAGTGGACTAAATATTTATTTATTATACACTGCTATTGAAATTCCTTTACCTGTTCGGTCTCTTGCAAGGGGATGGGCTGGACTGCTCTGAGGAGCTGGTGCTCAGAGTACTATCAGGACTGCTTAATGAACACATCCGATCGATGTTCAAAGTGCTCTGGCAAGCTTCACAATCTAGACTACCTTTACATCTAGTAAGAGAGGGAAGGAAAAAACATGGGTCAAAAATGAGAAGATACTCCCCAAATAGCCCCAAATTAATTTATTTAAGGGTATGAAACAGTTAAGTGTGACCTACATGGACGAAAATCTAAAACTTATAAACACAAGAAAAATGCTATAATAATCATAGTTAAATACCATTCAGAAAGTTTACTCCAAAGGACTTTGACAGACAAGGAATAAGTCACGGAAAGTTGTTTTTGTTTTTTTTTTTGGCTACACCAGAGGGTGTCAACATTATTATTTAAGAATGCAGCATAAACACATGAAACTGCTTTTGGTACTCACTCTCTAAGAGAATGTCTCTGTGATGTCTCCTCTTCATCAGTGTCACTGCTAATAGTGATCACACTCACTGCAGGACTTGGGGAGTCAGCAATGATGATGGTTTGCCGCTGTTTGTCTGAAATTGATGAATCAGAGTCCTGCCTGATAGATGTCTCACAACAATTTCTTGCCTCTCCTTCTGAGTTATGATTGTCCTGTGTTTCTATACAACTTACTTCCTCAACATCTTTTCCATTTACTATCTTTGGAGAAATAAATGCTGAATGTGGGATATTGGTATTCTGCAATGCATTACTCCTGCAATCAAAGAGATAATGTATCATTTCAACAATCAAAATATGTACATACATATTTCTAAGACATCTTGCTAAAATAAACAATATGAACCTTCACTTGGTTCAAGATCATGTATATAACACACTAACATACAGATCATAAGTTTTGTGAAATATATAATACTATCTCTAGAAATATCAGTGTAGATTACATTTACATACATTCAAATAGTCATTTTTTGGGTAAATGTGATATTTATGTGTCTAAAATTTACTAAAATTAAAAGTAGAGAATAAATCAAAAGGGCAATAAAGACAATCTTACCAACTGAAAGCATTTATTTCCTCTCTTCCTGGCTCCCATTCCATTAGTTTTACCAAAATACCTCTGAGAAATTGAGAAGGGAGCCGGCTTAGTGTTTGTGACAAAGCTATCGAAGAGGTCATTTTGAATACAACAGAGTGACCCTTTAGTGTACATGCAAAATTTATCTTAAAGATTAATTCTCAAAATGCAGAGGAAAGTTAAAATATCCATACCAACCTGTTCTGACACAGTTTATTTTTCTTGGTAGTAGCAGGCTGAGGCCAGACAACATGTGCAATGCCCACACTGATTGGCTGCGGGGCCGATAAAGTTATCTGACTGGTTAGAAGAGGTTGCGGCATCACTGAGCTATAATGATTGCTGTGTGAAATCATTTTCCTAAGGATAAAATTAAGAAAAATTGAACCCCTTTCTTTACCAAGATCTATTTTGCAAACTATTCACAAAAAGTTACTTTTGTTTTTAACTTACCCCCAGTCTCCAAGCCTTTGTGAACCAGCCACACTCTCAGAAGTTAATGTAGTAGCAGCAGGAGCCATGGGTGCTACCTGTTGCCAGGCAGGTACCAGCACCTGCTGTGTTCTACCAGACCACGTCTGCTGCACCAAAAACAAACACACACACACACAAACAAGTTACAAGTGATTAATATTACTATATCTTAAAATAAAAACATACATTAAACTAACAATCATGTAATAATTGTAAAAGTTAAAGTCAGTAATCTACAAAAGATCAAATTCCCATCCAGGTCATTTTCATTGTTTCCCAATATAAAAGGCTGATATGCTATAAATGCATCAGCACCCGCACCCCCACCACCTGAGTATAATGAGGACAGCACATGTGCAAAAATAATTATTACCAACCTGGGACAGAACTCCTGGTCGGATTTGTAGGGGCTGAACAGCTGGGGCCTGAGTTACAAGTGGAACTGTATTATCTACCCTTATTGAATAACTAGTGGGTTTGCCATGCGTTGCAGGAATACCTGTGAAATATAAAAGAATAGTTATCAAATAAAAGAAAAAAAATATTTCCCTGAGTTAACTTATAAAACTCTTTTGAATTTAAAGAACTACCAAAATTGTGATTAGGATTATAAAACCATCCCCTACATAAAAATTTCATAACACTAACAAAGCAATCTTATTAGGAAAGTGAGGTACTTTCTGTCTCCTTTGTTGTACATCATTCTAAAAAATGTTTTAAAGCTATTCTTTCCACTGTTTTAAAATGTATACTACAAAGTTGAATCATTTATTTTTCTTGAAACTTCCCATTCCTTTTAAAGTTCACTCTTGTAGCTTCATTTTTCTTTTCAAATAGTTCTGCCACTATGATAAAGATATGGCAAAGTGAATCTAACTCAAAATCCTCATCTTCTAGCAGGTTCATCTTTTCATACAAACTTTTAGCTATGCTTAGTATTCTCTTCTTTAAAATTGTCACAAGATCACACACTTTTGGCACCAAAGAGAGAAGGTATCACAACTTCACACTTCAATGGCCATGATAGTTTACATGAATCAAGAAAATTCAGAATGGCACATTCATTTCGACCTCCAAAGGAAAAGCAAAAAAATAAACAAACTTTTCTGCCTAATATGATGATACAACTAAGCATTGGTCAGTGAGGCTTAATCTACTAGTATTCCTAGTAGAGAGCTGCTGGAACTCCAGCACAAACATGTTTCATTTTGCCTACCTGCTAGGAAAATTAGAAAGCAGGATTATCAGTCATGTTGATCCTGTTAATGTTAATATGTGTGTCACATGTTGGAAAAGGATCTTGTAAATATTGTCTTATGAAATTAAGCTTTGAGACAATAAATTAGTATCATCCCAACTTAGAGCTTTGACAAATATGATTTTAGGGACATTCCCCAAATCAGAAAGCTCAGTTACTAAAATAAATTCAATCCTTCATAATTCCAGTTTATTATAGCAGTTACTTCGATATAGGCTGGCAGATCATCTAACATAATCAGCTTTAAATAAAAGTGATCTTGGGTGTCTCTAATAAACCTTAAGAGAAAAATGTAATTGTTTTCTTTTCCCATTGAAAAACAATTTTACAATTTTTATTGTACAGATATATTTTAAGTGCTAATCCTAAGGAGAACGCTGATTTTGTTATGCTTATTTTCTTCACAGAGGTGTTCATCCTACTGCTGGGGTGCTCTACCCTCTGAGCTCCGCCCAAAGGACCAGATACAGATTAAGTTCCACAAAGAACTTTTAATTATTTCTGAAAGCTCATCTCCTCACCCTCCCCACCAAAAAGCATGTCTTCAGCAAATTCTCCAAGAAATGGAATGCAAACTAACAAATACTTTGCTTTGTCTCACTATTAAGTCTAATTTAAAAGTACTGGTTTTGACATTTAATGAGTTGATAAGCCTGAGAGTATCTCCTTTTCTTCCTGTTACCCTATTATGAACCACTCATTTAGTTGCTAACATATATACAGAAAGGTTACTAACCTTTTATCAATTATAAGTCACATAAAAAGATAAAAGATTTATTTAACTTCATTAAATATTTTAAGAATGATGCTTAACCATGTTTAGAAATGTGTCTCATGGTTACCAGAAGGGAACGGGGAAGGGAGAGAGGGAAAAATAAAAAAATAAAATGTTAAAAATAAAATTAAATTAAAAATTAAAAAAATAAAAAATAAAATAAAACCACACACACACAAAAGAAATATGTCTCACAAGCTTCTTAAGTTTTTGCTACAAATAGAAGGTAGGCTCTGAAAAAAAATAAATAAAAAACTGCTATTCCAAATCCTGACGAAATATACTACACTGTTGGTGCATGACTCTCAAACTGATTTTGGTACATGAAAAAGATTACTAAAACCTAAGAATCTATTTATCGGTACAGATTAAAAACTCATTTAAGTGAAAATGCATTTGTTAAGACACCGCTTAAATGATAACTGATTTTTAAGAAAAGCATCAGTCTTGCATGCTCAACTATTTAGAAGTAAAATGTCTACCACTTACTATCAAATGCTGTCTGTATATATGTATAGATAGACAGAAATATGGCAAATGTTAACATTTGTTGAATCTAGGGTACGAGGCATTATATTATTCTGTGAACTTTTCTATATGTTTTAAATTTTTATAATAAACAGTTGAGGAAAACAAACACAGCAGCATCTTTAAGAGTGCCGACAATATAATGATACAGGTATTTTTTATTATTAGAGACCAGCCATGGGTTATGTCACAGATACTTAGAACACCATTGGACAAATTTCACCTTGACCATCCAAACAGTCGTTTTTTATATTTTTAACAACACAAATCTTTCTCTCAATGAAACTTTATATGAAAGCCCAATATATAAAGATAAAAGAAAGCTACCTTGGTAGAACAAAAGTGGCTAAAGAGTTGACATGTTTCCACATCTCTTATTACTAGCTAATCAAGTCAACAAACATATTCTTGGTGCTTGCTTAGGTACTGTGGGAGCCATTGAAATAAAAACTTTTTAAAATTGCTCAAATCCTTAAATCAAATAAAAAATTCAAATAATCTTCAGAATCCAGAAATATTACATCTAGAAATGACCAAGGCCATATCTATTCAGTCTGCTTCCTTTGACTAAGGCTGAAACAGGTTAACAGACCTGTCTAGGATAACACAGCAAACTGCAGAAACGGCTATGTCCCAAGTGTTCTGACTTAGCACCAACTTCTTTCACTTACACCATATATACAGTATTACCATCACGTTTCAAAGAGTCATTTAGGAACCCATTTGTAATTAACCTCTTGCTTTTAAAAAATAACTAGATGTTAAAGCCTAGCAAGGGCAAAATAATAGGAAAGGACCTAAGAAGTAGGGTTTTAATCTGGTTATTCCAGTTGCAAAGTCTGCTGCTATTGCCCTCTAAAAACCACTAAGAAATTCCCACTTGAAAATTCATGGCCTCTTCAAAGGTACTCTGCCACCTATCACACACTTGAGGATTTAACTGCTATTTTTATCTAAGTAAGGGACATAATCTAATTTAGTCAAAATCAATCCTTAAAAAAAAAAAAAACTAAGCTATGGATAAGGAACAAGACAATGACATTTTGGGACAGAATTCCTTTGACCAAAATTTTAAAAAGTGGACTTTCAGTCACTTTGCTGTCTAGTCATGACAGATGCTGTGCAGTAACCTGACCATCTGGAGCAGTGATATCAGTATAGGACAATCCATAGCTTGTCAAGCTCATTAATTTCTACTAAGGTATTTTATCATGCTGGTCTCTACAGGAACTATAACTGTAGTATGACCCATTTTGTTAATGATGATCACAATGGAGCTCCAGTCAAGAAATGAACATCACTGGTCTAAAGGCTAGCGACCAGCTTAAATTAAATTAAAATGTAACAAAAACTATACTATTTAATGAAAAGATGCTCAGCTTGTTATAAAATCATGCATGCCTAAATTCAAAATGCAATTTAAATGAAAGAATACCTTGAATAGCTGGGGGACAGATAATCAGTGTCTGCTGAAAAGCATCACCACAACCAAAATGAGCAGTTCCAGCCTGCAGAGGAATCCCATGGTGCACAACTGAATGAGCAGATGTGGTTAATGCCTGAAATGATCAACGTATGTGGTGGCATTATACAGAGCAGTCTAATTGCTACACACATGCTTTATAAATAGAATTCAAACATACTTCTTAAAATCTTAATTGTACGATGAAAATGGGTCCAGAAACTGATTTTACTGAACTTTACTTTTTGTAGAGGTGTGGCATAGAAGGGTAGGTAACGGATATTGAAAGAAGGAAAGATGAAAGGAAAAAAAAGAATTTGGAAGGGTATGCTCTAATTGTTACCCTGAAATATTAAGAGATTTAACAGAATGGCAATAGTAAGACCTCACCAGCACTGTAACTTCTAATTGCTGACATGAGACTTCTGTATACTCCAAAAGCAAAGAGAGCAATCATAAAAAAAAAAAAAAGGAGCATAAATTAATAAATTCTTACCTGACTTCTTAATGTGCCAATTTTAGTAAAATTTGCTGTCAGATTAGCAGTACTGCTTGAAGCTACTGGTCTTAAAAGTGAAGTTTTATTGTGATTATTTGTGTCACATGAATTTGGGTGGGACTTACAAATATCCATAATATGAAAACAGGACTTTACGCTGTAAAAAAAAGAAAGGGGGAGGGGTGATTGTAATATTATTTTATATGTTTAGAGTAGTTTAAAATTAATGTACATTAACTTAAAAATTATTTCCAAAAGAAAAAGATTCTATGACTTGCACTTAAATCTGCTTATTTCCAATACTGTTTCTATCAGGAAATCCTACAAGAAAAGATTGAACTTTAAAGCGAGTAAAAGTGTGTCTTATACCTGCAATATTTTAAGACATCAAAGCAATAGTAAGCATTTTTTGGTTAGCACACTATAATTTTATTCCTACTCTAAGTAAATTTTCCAAAATTTCAAGATCTACGTATCTCAAAATTAATGGTACCAAGTATGGAGTTATCATATTATTTTCGAAGGACTTATATATAGAAACCATTAGGCATTTTTAAGAGGCGATGGTAGGGGGAGAAGATAGCAGTTGGACTTTATAAAAACACCAAATTTAAGGGTAATCCACAATAAGGGATATTGGTTCATCCCTATACTTTCTTCACTCTTTTTAAAATATTAAAAGAAGCTATTTAAAGTCATTTACTTCCTTCGGCCTGTTAACATTTCCTTTTAGTATATATATGTCTGGTTATTAAGGTAAGAAATGTCATGTAAAAACAAAATCACTTGGTCATTTTCAGTATAGTATTTTGGAAAAAGAACACTGAAATGAAATTCAGATTTGCGTTCTAGCTCTACCTCGCCACTTATTAACCTATGTGAACTTGGTCAAGTTAGCTTAACCTCTTTTAACTCAGTTACTTATACTTAATGAAGAAATTGAATCATTTTTTCTAACACACTGATTTCTACGGACTTAGCATTATTATTTCTTCATTTTAAAAGATTTTAAAGTAACATACTGGTTGCTATGAGGGAAATCTAGAAGATGTTTCATATTAACAAAAGGATGATTCAAAGTCTCAGCTGGAGTAACTCTTAAATCTGCATCAATTAGCAACATTTTCTTCAACAGACTAACGAATTCTCTTCTATCAGCTTTCTCAGCCAAAAGATCACTTCCTTCCAAATCCATCACTGTGTTCACCTGCAAAATCAAAATTTCAAATCATCAAATAAAAATAAGCCATAGCATATATTAAAGTTTCACATTTAAAAAAAATACAACAACAAGGAAAGAACAGAGAACTACAATTATTTTGAAACGGGAAAGAACTGAGTTTAACAAATCCTTAAAATGTTTTAAAGTATCAAATGGCATTCAAAGCAGAAAAAAATTTTTTTCCCCATCTCATTAGAGATGGATTGAACAAATACCCATCTTTAATGAGATACAGGGAAAATAAATTTGTTTGCTAGGATTTTTCCCTTTTAAGGAAAATGCTTTTGACTAAAGAACAGGATAGCGTACATTAAATATTCAAAGACAAATGCAATTTAGTTCCTGAAAGGTTGAAATCTTAAAATCATTTTTGTTTGAAAAGCTTAAAAACAGCGAGTATTCTATATTCTTTTAGAAAATGATTAACATGTTTTGGTATCCTTACCAATCACGTCTACCGCCTTAAGCATATAAGATTGACAAATGTGACTGCGGTACTCACATGCACTATGTCATCCAGATTGTTGAAGATGTACTTTCTGGCTTCTTTAGACTTCATTCCTGTCTCTGCCTCATGCTCTTCTAGTGTCTTATTGAATATATCAAAGAGGGGAAAAATATATATTATTACCCACCATTTGTAAATTTTTATTCTTTCAATACTTAAGCAGTCTAATATAACTGAATATTCTAAGGCAAGCAGTAGTTTTGAAAGAATAGTTATCTAAATGTAATTTTTAAAAGTACAAAAAAAATTAGAAGAGCTTGGCTCAGGTAAAAAAAAAAAAATATTCCATATATAACAACCTCCTTAAACAAAATAACTAATTACAAAGTTAAACATTGATGATATATTGATCCCCAAAAATCCAGGAATAAATTAGGTACTTGGGTTACTAAGTGATTAGATTCAGTCCCTGTCCTATCAACGTTAATGCTGAAGAACTAGGTAGAGGAGACGCAAACACACAACACAAAACTAATTATACACATAAAATTTTAAAAATCATTTAAGATGAGTTGATAATTATGTTCCCAGGTTAGAGAGTGAGCTAGGTTATTGTAAAAGGGCTTTCTTCACTTAAAAAAAGGGGGGGTGGGGAAGGGGTTAAAAATGAAAATTCAAAAGAAGAAATACAATAAAATAAAACTAAGCATGGAGTGTATAACCAATATACGTGAGGCATCTTAGAAATATGTTTTTCTAAATATTTTTTTAATGAATTACCTTTAATCTCCAACCAGAATGAGAAATATCTGTTTCTCTGCAAAAAAATCTTGTGGATTTTGTACCCACATTTAACAACTGTTCTCCTGGTAAACCTTGAGTCTGAGAAATGTATCGAATCTGAAAAATAATTTACAAAACAGAAGAGTTTATTCTTTCATGCAATAGATATTATTTAAATGCCTATTATATATCAAAGACTATGCTAGATATTTGGTCAAGAATTAAATGATATAATTTGCACTCTCAAGAAATCCACAGTCTGGTGGGGAACACACAAGTAAACAATTATAATGCAGTGTTATAAGTACCATAATAAATGCATGCTTTATGGAAAGACAGAGAAGAAATACCTAAAATAATGTTGTCACATAAAGTTCCAGAGGATGTGACACTCAATTTGGTTCTTAAAGAACAAATGAGTTTTTTAGCCGTTGAGAAGTGGGGAAAATCTTATTATGATTTGTGTTGAGGTTATGAGTAAATATGGGAAATCAAAAGAAAACACCTACACAGTCGAAGACTAGAAGTATGAGGTTAACTAAGGGAAAAACAAGAGATCAAACTGAACTAGAAAGCAAAAGGATTTATCAATTGGTTAAGGAGTTTGAATATACTCCAGGAAGTAATAATGGGAAACCACGGAGAAATCTAGGCAGGAAATTGACCAATTACATTTTTAACAAAATATCTAAGAATAGGAGAGGGTGGGTAAGGCCAGAGGAGAGATGGCGGGGAGGGGGTGACTGAACTGAGAGACTTAGTAGAAATAGAAAGGAAGGAGTGGATTTAAAAGAGACTTAAATTTATAAAGACTTGGTAGATTACGACTGTGGGAGCATTGAAGAGGATACATCTCTGTCACTGGCATGGTTGAGCCACGAGAGGAAGAGACACGAGTGTAGATGAGCACTCTCAGAACACTGAAAAGGTCCAGTCTCAGGGCCACTGAAAACTTCATATCCTTCTGTTTGGAACACTCTTTGCCTAGGCATCTGTATAGCTCATTTTTCACTACCTTCAGCTCTCAGTTCAGATGTCACTTTTTTCGTGAGGCCTTCCATAGCCTGCCAATAAATAGCAATAAGCTCTCTTCTCTTTGGTACTCTAGTACCCGTTATCTTCCTTATTCTGTAGTATTTTCCTCTGCCATGCTTTCTGACAACTGATATTCTATATGTTTACTTTCTATTTTCTTATCCCATTCTCCATTATTAGAATGTAAATTTCATAAAGGAAAAGACTGTTTTCTTTACTTACACATACACCCATGATACATAGCAGGCCCTCAAATATCTGTTCTCCAACTTAATGACTGGGCAGCATCGGGAATAAACAGGGGCTTAACTCCTCTAAATTGTATTTAAGAACACAGGGTTTGTTTTTTTTGTTAAACCTCAAGGGTATTACATTATCAGTTAATCCATCTCCTGCATCTTCTATTTCTTCCTCTTTGAGATCTTTCCCCTCAATCTACAAAAATATTTATTATCTTCTATCCTCAAAATGAAGAATTGCTCTTAACTATTTAAAACTCTTCTAAGTTAAAGAGTCTTAAGTGAGGACTTGAGATCTTGTTCCTCAGCATATGTTATCTGTATGGCTCAAATAAACTCTTACAAAAATTAACAAAATGTCTTAAAATAGCCTATATTTTACTTCCCATTCGTACCTCAAGACACTACAGTATGAATTTAACTATCACTCCCATGATATGGTGCCAAGATAAGTAATGGCCTGTTAATAACTGACACGTTGAATAGTCCAATGTTAATCCATAGTTTACTGTGATATTTTTGGCTACTATCTTTTTACTTATAAACTCTGTTCCTTCCACTTCTGAACATTGTTTCTCTCTGGTTCTCTTCCTACTTCTTGACACTCTTTAATTGCCTTCTCCATTTGTTCTTTATATGTCATTGTATTCCAGAGTTTTATCTGTCTTCTTTCCCTTTACAAGCTCCAAGTGTCCATAGTTTTATCTCTACATCTGTATCTAAATATTTATCTCCATCTCTGGAGCTCTAGATCCAGCTGCTTATTGAAACTTTCCACCCAGCTGGCCTTTAGGTATCTCAAAGTGAACAACATATCCTAAACTGACTTTCCCTTAATTCTGTTAATTCTCATGCCTTTTCCTCGTTGATGAATAGCAACACCAACCACTTAAATCAGAAACCTGAAATTTATGCCAAACAAGCACCTCTCACTCATCACCCTCCCTCCAACATCCAAAACCCTACCAATTTTACCTCATTAGTATTTTTCATAACTGTCCCTCCTCTCCACCTCTATTTCCAGGTCTTCTTCAATTCTGAGTTATACAATTTCATGAGTTATACAATTTCACTTCCCTAATGACCCCATCTACTCACCTTCAATGCATTATCCACAATACTAACAATGAATTTGGCAAAATGCAAATCTGTTACTCTCCTGTATAAAATTACTGCCTATAGGATCGATTCCAAACCTCTAATCATGACATACAGTCTCCTCCAGCTTTGTCTCTTCCCTGCTCTTTACATGCACCTGTACTCAAGCCCCATCTAGCACCATGCTAAACTTTGCATAGGCTAGTTTCTCTTTCCTCCTACTCATCAATATCCCTGTGTATCCTCTCCCATTTCTCCAAATCCATGTGACAAACTTTTACTAGTTCTTCTTCAAGACTTAGTTCAAGAACTTCTCCTCTGTACAGCTATGCCTAACCATCCCAAAAAGAAGTGATCACTTTCCTCTGTGTTACCATCACACCTAGAACATACATTTAATACATTAATAATACTAAATTGCACTTATTTTTTAATGTCTGTTTTCCCTACTAGACTGTGAGCCTCCTGACAATAGATTCCATGTTTATCCTTGTTTATACCCAATTTTACATGACATATAACTGAAATCTCGACTTTACAAACTAGTTTCATTTCATTTAAAGTGAAGTGTGATGTCTTCCCTTCACCCCACATCCAAAGTGGCTGAGTTCCTTGTTTCACGGAAACAGAAAATAGAATAGTACTAAGAGTTCAGAACCTAGATGCTGCAGAGTCTCTTAGATGGTAGGAAAGGTGTTCAACAATTCAATTTCAACAAACATGCACAGAGCATTTATTATATGTCAGATCCTAAAGATATACAAATAAATGAAATATGGTGTCAGTATTCAAAAAGCATATAATTCAGTAGAATAAATATTTAAGCACATACTCTGCAATTAAGCTAGGAAGCACCATTATGAGAAAGAAAATAAAGTGCTAAAAGAGCAAAGAGAAAACAGCAATTAATATACCTGGCAAGTTGGTTTCACACTAGGGAAAAACAACAACAACAACAACAACAACAAAGCATCAAATGAATTTGTAGGTTTATTTTTGGTCATGCCTGCCCAATATTTTGAAGGAAAATTGTTCCATGTATAACAACTGCCAATATATGAAGGGACACACTGTTTCCCTCCCCTGTGCCCAGTGGGTAAAGGGTGGGAACCTGACTCAGAAGCAATTAACTCATAAATTTGCCCTGTGAACTCAACTGGAAATAATCTTACCAAATCAGATTTATATTACCAGGAACGTAAACTAAGAAATACTAATTACCGTTTGGGGATGAGCCAAAGAGTGATAAGATAGAGCTGGAGTTTGATGGCTACGTTAACCTAACCAAAGTTAAGACTGCGCAGAAATTCTGAGTAGCAAGTTAGAATCAGAAAAGACAGAAGCACTGAAGAGCAGTGAAGTCACACGTATGATCCCACACCTCAGTGATCCACCAATGCCTATTAATTCCTCCAGTGCTGCCTTGAATACAAAGTACCTCCCACTCTAGATTTCACAGAATCTAATCATATTATAGCTCTATTCTTGGATTTTTTGATAGTCTACATAGAAATAAAAGGACTCTTACTCAAGCCACCTTGAATGGGTCTCTTTGCAATTTGACAAAGCAGAATCCTTTAAAGATTCCCACTACCACCCTGGAGTTGAAACAGTGAACTTTATAAAGATATAATTTGAAATTATCAAGTATGAAATTTGAATTTAAATTCAGACTTTTAGATAGTTTAGGTTCTATCTAAACTCCAACAAACGTTTTGTAAGAACAATTGACATTTACCAACTAAATACTGTCTATCTATCCATAAAAATTATTATTTAACTCCCTAGAATGTTTCTGATATTTCCCTGGTAAGTATAAGTTAAAATCCAGTATAGAAAACACTAATAGGACAATATATCTACAATTAAGACAGGAAAGGACTCAAGCACAGTACCAATTCACTGAATTGATAACTGTGCAACTAGTGACACTAAATGATCATAACTTTTTTAAATTACTGTACCATTCTAGAATTAAAGTGACATACAGTCTGAAAATACTATTAATCTGAATCAGATTAACAGTTTAAATTCTATTACAGAATTTAGAAAAACTAAGTATTGGTCGGGTATTTGTCTTAAACTACTATTGTGACAAAATTTTAATAGTCATTTCCTTTTCCTGGGCCTCAGTTTTATCCTTTATAAAACTGGAAAGGGCAGTAACTAGATAATCAGTAGGGTCTTTTTCAGTACTAACATCAATTGTCCAAGACTAGAATTGTGAAGCCCAAATCCATAGTATGATAACAAATCAACCTGAAACTGCCACCAGATGGTGTCCTGCTCCAGAGTAGTATGCATGTCATAAACTAGTCCACAAAGCCAAAGGTATATTTCTAGCATTTGACTGGCACCTCAGTACTTCAGCAGCTAAGAATTATGGGACTCTCCAACTAGATGACCAACTCTTTCAAAACTAGCAATAGTTTAGCATTTGCATGAAAATTAGTGGTCGAATAAAAAGCTGAAGGAAACCAGTATGTATGGAAAATTTTACAGAAAGTCTAAGAGGTATGCTGAATGCAGAGGAATAGGTATAGAATAGGAAACATGGCCTAAAAGAAGTTTATAAATAGAAAGTCATTAGAAGAAGAAACTGATGTTAATACTTATAGCTAATCTAATAATTAATATTAAATGATTAATTTTAGAGTCATCTTAGCAAAATTTATGTCATCAAACTAGCTACCTCTCATATCCCTTTTGATATAGAAAGCTCAGCCCTGAAAATAAGGCACAAAATTTTATTGTTACATTTACATCATGTGTGTTTGAAATGTTCTATTTTCTATTTTTTCATGCCCCAAAGTTAAATAGTATATCATTTGAATAAAAGTTATATTTGTCCACTACAAGCCAATTACAGAAAGATAAAATTAATGTGTCAACTTTGTTAATTTTTACTAATATTTTCCACTAAAATGAGTATATATATCTAATAAGGGAGATGTAATGAAACTCTTTCAAATAGTAGTGAATAAGGTAATGATTACTCCAAAAATAAATCTTGATATTAAAAATCAAGAAAATAGGGGAGCATTTAGAGAATTTGCACCCCAGCATGTATGGTCAGTTTGGCTCAAATAAACTCTTATAAAAATTAAAAAATATAGAATAAAATAAAAAATCAAGAAAAATCGGGAAAATAGCAAGCAATATTGTCTAAAAGCGTAGAGAAGCTAATGAACATACCTGGAAATTATCACGAAAAGTGTTTAATGAAGTAAGTTGCTGGATTCTACTGAGAATCATTTAAATAATGTTAAACTAGACTTTAGCACCATTCAAAAACAGCTAAAAATACAAAAGAAGGTTCAGGTGACTGAGATATTTAAGACCAATAATGGTTGTTGGTTTAAGACCAGTATTTAAATGATGCCTTTTATTCCTTGGGAGAAGATGACATTTCATTCATCATCAAAGTTTGTCAACTGAGCAAAGCACTATTATTTAATTGGACATAGTCCAGCCCTTTATATGTTTATTATATAAAAATGATACAAAAAATTATCCCAATTGTTTTTAAAAAACAGTTTTGGGGGCTTGTAGATTGTAACTTTGTTTATGAAAATTAGTTATTATAAAAGAAATTTTTAAAAATCAAATAGTTTTGAGATCTTGAATTGAAAATCCACAGGATCTCAGGTTTTGTCATTTTATTTAAAAAAGATTTTCACGTGTATTAGATACTGAATTAAGTGCATTCTTTCTTTACAACCTACTAATTCTACTAGATTATCATGACGGTTCAGTTACCTGGTCATACTCCAAAGCTCCTGGGTAGAGCGGCCATCCAAGGAATAATTCTGCAATCACACATCCCAATGACCACATATCTATGGCTTCACAAAATGGCAACCCCAATATAATCTCTGGAGCTCTGAAATTTAAAAATAAGAAATCAAAGTGGTTTTCCTTTAAAATTATCTGATTTCATCTGACATTCTAAGAAAAGTTAGTAAAATGACATTACCTTCTATTTACAGTAACTCCACTTTTCAGAATTCTTTGAAACTTAGTCATAATGCTGAATTAAACTTTAAAAGGTGTCGTAAGTACATCACTATGATAAAATCTCTACACTTAATCCTCAGAGTTTTAGTAACATAACATTAAAAAAAGGAAAAAGCATAGCCTCGGTTTTGAGACTACAGCAGAAAGAGAACTGGCAAACTATTAAATACATACACTATGACATCAACTGAACTGAAAACCAGACATTGAGAGATATGATCACAACAAAACAAAAGTGGATCTAGAACTAGACAATATTCCAAAATACAATAATAAATATTCCAATTATTAGGGACATTAGTCATCCAAAAGAGAAAAGACCAAATTCAATGTCATCCTGCTTTAAAAGGCAGAAAAGTACAGGATATATCAAAACAGTTAAAAAGCACTTTAGTACTTAAATAGCTTTATTTGGAAAATGAATTCCATGAAAGATATCATTCCTAGATAAATTGCCACTACTTCACATGACCATCCCATGAGAAGATTAATATTCTGAGAGGTTCTACATATAGTTATGTAATTCCAAAGTCATACAATCAGTTATACCAGATTTGTGTGTGCATGAGTGTACATTTTCTTTTTTCCCCATTATCATTATTTATTTAATTCATGATTATTACCTAAAATAAAGGATGGTTTAAAAAGTGATCCACTTTGCATGTCAAATATAGCACTGACCCACCTTAACTCTAGGCCTTTTCTCTTCGATTCTTTTTACACAATAATGCAGTTAGATTTCTTAAAGCACAGATCTTGATCATGCCATTTACTTGTCAAATATTTTCTGGGGCTTATTCTTTCATGTCTGGCAGTCATGGCTTGCCACCTCCTTGAGACTATTACCTTTCTCATTTTCTTTTCCTGTGTCCCCTGTTCCAGCTACTTATTTTTTCTATTTTTAAAACAATCTCAAACTTATAGTTGTAAGAACAGTTCAATGAGTATTTTCCTGAACCACCTGAGAATAACTTGCTAAGTAACTGTATACTTTCTATCTTCTACAAACAAGAATATTTTCCTGTATAACCACAATACAATCATCAAAACCAGGAAATGAATGATGATACATCTCTACATCTAAGCCTCAGACTAATAATGTCCTTTCTGGCAAAAGGATCCAATTCAGAATCAAGCATTACATTTCATTGTCTTATCTCTTTTAATCTTTTTCAATATGGAATAATTCCTCAAGTCTTTCCTTGATTTCTATGACCTTGACTAAGATACTGCAGATCAGTTATTTGTAGAATGTCCCTCAGTGTGGGTCTGTCTGATATTTTATTTTACGCTATCAGGTGTCAAATATTCGGATTTGTTCCATTATTGTAAATGTTCACTTTGATTACTTGACTAATGTGGTATCTGCTAGATATCACCATTATTTTGTTCTTCCTTTTCCTTTTGTAATTATTTTGTGGGGTTTCAATTTGAGACTATACAAATAATCCTTTCCTTATCGAACTTTCAATTTATTCATTTATTTCCCATGTGAGTACATATTAATGAATTCCTATTTTATTCAAGAGGTTATAATCTACTACTATGATTATTTAGATTCTCTAATTTTCCCAGACTTGACCAATCCGAATTCCCTCAGTGAGCTATGGGTCTGTGTTACCACCACTGGAATGGCACTGTTCCCAGGCTCTCTCAGCATATACATTATATACAGTTACACAAAATAAACCTTCTGCTAATTTCTTTAACTGAGACTGCTGACTGTCACTAACTCCTAAGACAGTGGTTCTCAATCTTGGCTGCATATTACAATCATGTTTAGTCCTGGATGCACCTCATAGTAATTAAATAAGAAACTTTGGGGATAGGACTTAGGCATCAGTATTTTTTAAAGCTCCAGGGTTGAATCCAATACATGGACAAAGATGTATTGGAACCAAAGCCCTAGACTCAAGTAGTTAGACCAATGGGAAGACTATTCCATCTCCTCCCTACAGTGCTTCTGATCAGAATAAGTTCAGAGATAAGACGTTTTCTGCCATAGATTTGGGATCTGCCCCGCAACTGACTATTCTACTCTTGTATATTTCTGCTGTAACTAATACTTAAGATTTAGTAAACCCTTAATCCACAGCATTTATTAAAAACAAGTAAGAGTCACAGGGAGATGCTTTCTTTGAGGCATAAAAGATCTTTAAAACATAGGTTACAAAAGGTTTTCATTCTTTTTGACAAAATGTTTATGTACATGTCTGAATTATAGTCAAATATAATAAAATGCTAAAATGTGTTGTAGAAAGGAAAAAACATAAGTTATACTAAGTTATCAATCTTATATATTCACAATATGGTACAAAAAGACAGTAAAGATCTTATTTTTGTTCACTATTATATATGCGGAACCTAGCAGAGAATATGCACTCAGTAAACATTTCTCAAATAAGTTGTTCTAACACAGGTTGGGTCACACAAAGAAAAACATCGGAGTAAAGTTAGGTCTTGAAGAACAGAAGTCTAGGCAAAAAGAAAGAAAAATGGGCACAAGACTTTATAAAGGGTATATATTAACCTATATTAAAAAAAGACTCAAAGCAAAAAGATCGTTTCAAAAGTATGGAGTAAAAAGGAATTCACTAGTGGTATCTGAATCCTAAAGAATTATTAAGACTAATAGAGCTACAGGTATGTGCATAAATACTTCATTTTGAAATATTTAATATAAAAAGTTCATGAGGTTTGAAATTGTCTATTTAGAAAACTTTAACATCACATCTGGCAATGAAAGAAAAGTAACAATAATAGTATTTAGAATATATAATTTAAAGAGACTTAAATTATTTGAAATCTGGTTAACAATAAGAAAGGAGTTTCTGTCAACTGGACAAAGAGTGATAAGTTCCTTCGGCCATTTGTTACCATTTAATGAATGAGCCAAGTTTCTAATTGATGGCAACAGGAAGGTGGAGATATCTTTTCAAAATCTTGACTATAGATCTTGACAAACTGCAATAAAGCTACTTCAAACATAAAACCTAAGATACAAAAGTTATATTCATCGAAGTTAATTCAAATTTCTCATTTTAAAATATTAATTTCAACTCGAAGTTTTATACAAATTCATTCTGTATTACTGTGTCAGTTCAGACCCTGTGAGAAGATTAAATATGCAAGAAATTTCTTGGGGGAAATGCCTGTAAAGGATACAGGGAGAGAAAGCAGGAGTAGGTGAAGGGAGCCCCCAGACCTTGAGCAATTCTGATACCTGCGAAAGAGAGGCAAAGGTAGAATTGGGTAGAAAGAACCTCCAACTATAGCGCTGCTATGAGAAAGTCTTGGTTGGGTTGGTAGAGAGTCCCAGAGCAAAAATTATCTGTTAGAGGAGTTCCTCCATCAAGCAAGAATGGCCCAGCTCTAGTGCACACACTGTTTGCTCATTGGCTGGGAGCAGCCCAGAAGTGTGGCCTCTGCTTGAGCAATGACATATTTGAAGGTGCAACAGCTGGAAGCTCACAGTCAACTGTGTTCCTTGAAGGAGGTTCTCTTGAAGGGGAATCTGAGTGGAACAATTCCATGGCTGCCATAACTATCTAACCAAAAACTTTTGTATTTTATTTATATAAATATATAAATATAATAAATTTCTTCACCAAGTCCCATTCGAATATGCCCAAAATTCTCTCCAGGTTACCTAGTATGCCATAAAATATTATTTCCGTGTATCATTACATGTAAAAGGTTGGGAAGCAATACCTTAAAGTACTTATAATCTAGATGAAACTGCCAGAGATGTTCGAGTTAATAAACTTTAAAAATTAAATTACATGTGAAAGAATAATATATCCATCTGTCAGTAATGAATAAAGTTTGTTTTTTTGGTTACATCTTAACTGACTCTCAAATTCTTCCCTTGGGCTACTTTTGTATAAAAATGATCATAGCAAGAACTCTGATTTGTGGACCACTCTTAAAATAGATCTTCTGTTCTACTCCTAAAGAAAGTTCTTTCACTTCTTTTTAAATCTTCCTTAACTCCCTTCAGAGCATCTAAAATGTGGTAGTGCTAAGGATATAGTAAAGAACAGACATCTTTTGTACTTTTGTAGACAGACAAGGCACACATTAAATGTGTTTGTTGAATGAAGGGTATAACTAAACCTGTTGTTTACCACTGTATCACAAGTAGAAGTGTTAAAGCCATAAGTCTGTAGGCTAACAAAGGCAATCTGTACCTTAAATCCTATGTTTCTCTCCTCTCCCCTGTTCTCTCTCCCCTCTCCCCTTTCCCCTCTCCTTATTCTCTCCCTCCCTCCCTCCCTTTCTGCCACGTGCTTTTAATCAAATTTATCAATATGCATGAAGACCAAATCCTTTCTACTTCTTTAAAACCTTGAAACCTAATATAAAATAGAGTAAAATGGGTTTGTGGGACTTTTGCTAGACACCAGATGAGAATGTGGGCAGCAGATACTTCAAACAAGAACACAGTGAAATACTGTCGCTCATAAAAGATGACTATTAACATTTTATTTGATTTATTTAATTTTTATTTACTTTTTAAGTTGAAATTTTACTTACTGACAGAAGAAACCCAGCCCTGTTAGGAAAAGGGATATCTCAGTTCACGAACACAGTATGTCTAATTTTATAAACAACTATATTCTTATAATAGAGACAGATGCTTTAGCTTATCACTGCAAATGCTATGAAACTACAAGCTCATGTGGTGATGTCATGGCCACCAAGAAAATGTTTATCTTCATATGGCTCCTTAGTTTTCCTACACATAGAGAATATAAGGTTGGGCCAAGATGAATAGCAGCATAATGCTGATATACTTCAGTCTCCTGTGACAACCTAGGTCTGGTCAGGTCTAGGACACTGAATAATTTCTGAAATGACAGAGTT